TGTGTGTGTGTGTGTGTGTGTGTGTGTGTGTGTGTGTGTGTGTGTGTGTGTGTGATATTTACATATACATAACTTGATTTGAACACCTGTTTATCAAAAAAACAATTAAATTCATGCTATTGTCAGCAAATATATTGTCATGTCAATTTACAGGAATGCGTTGCAAAACTGAATATGAGACGGCTTGTCTGTGTGTGTGTGTGTGTGTGTGTGTGTGTGTGTGTGTGTGTGTGTGTGTGTGTGTGTGTGTGTGTGTGTGTGAAATTTACTCAAAGCCTGTAGATTTTCTGCAGGAGTGTGTCGGTGCTGCTGGTTCCAGTGCTGCAGGATGGTGTTGAAGGCTCGAACGTCGACTCTCAGCTTGAGGCTGCAGATTCCCAGCAGCTCACAGAAACAAACAGCTGCTGATGTCACAGATGGAAGGTTGAAACTTTTCAGAACCAAGCTGTACACCTGCTGCCAGGCCCACTGCAGCCTGAAACATAAACACACACACTCATGGTTTCAGTCTCACTGATCATCCAGTCAGGTCAGTGCTGTGTGTGAGGTTAAAGGAGGATTTGAGCCACACTCACTGCAGCTTCACGTCACTGCAGGCACTGAGCTGCTGGAGAAGGAAGTTGCCGTATGCAAAGGAAGGTCGGCCATGACGGATGTAGTACAGAAAGTCCAGGTTCTCCAATAAAGCGAACTTGCTCACAAGGTGAGGGCAGGAGAAATGAGGCAACTCTGATGTTTCTGTGGAGAAACATTTAGTGTTGGTTACAGAACATGAAGCAAACATCACAAACACCTACTTTTCAATTCTACTGCTGTCTCCAGCATATCAAACATACTGTATCGTTGAGCCAGTAAAAGCTGACCCTGAGCAGAGAGCTCATCATCCATGACTGCAGAAATGTTTCTTTATACCAAGCTAACCAAAGTCCCAGCATCATCTCTTTGTTTGATTACATCCATCCATAAATCTACCATTCATCCAACCTCCTGAGTCCCTGACAGCTTTCCTTCAGCCCACTGGCCTGCTGTTCATTTTCTCCTATTAATGATTCATGTTAGATTCATTTCCAACAGCTCGTTTCTTACAGTTTCTTCTTTATTTTCTGTTATCAGCTTTCTGTCATGATGCAACATTTTTATTTGGATATAAGGAACAAGCATTTCTCTCAAAAATGTAAATTAAGAGATAAATTTATTATTTGAGATGTATGAGAAAAACTAAACTACCACCAATTTCATTAAAAATCCTTTCATTTGTTCTCAAAGGATATAACATTAAGCTGCAGAGGAAATTGTGTGGTTAGGTTCTATCTGTGTCATATTCTGAAGTGAATAGTGTCATCTTACCAGTTAAGTTCAGAGTGTTTGCAGTCTGCCAGCCAAACAGTCTGGATGGGTCTAAAGGATGAAGAGACTACGAGAGAGATGCATAAAAACATTGAGATGAATTAAAAATGTATGTATTCACAAGAAGCAGGTCATTCAGCATGGTAGGAAACAGTGTTATTCAGGCTAACTAGCATGGTCAGGATTCTGTCTTGTACCTGAAGAGAAAACTGCTAACATCTGCTAAAAGTTGCTAACATTTGTTAACAGCTGCTAATATCTGCTAATAGCTGCTAACGTGTTAACAGAAGCTAACATGTGTTAACAGCTGCTAATAGCTGCTAACATGTGTTAAGAGCTGCTAATAGCTTATAATATGTGTTAATAGAAGCTAACGTGCAGTGGTGGGCACCAGCCCGCTAAAGCGTAAATCCGCTAATTGCGGACCTAAATATTTAATTTGCGCTTTAGCGGTCTTACTAATTTTTATAATTCAGAAGTGGATTTGCTCTTTCTAAAGTTAAAATTCAGTACCGCTAATAACTAATTATCTACCAGTCAACATTATCTTGAACAGCGGAAGGTATTGGCTGTCAATGAATCACATGATCTATCCAACAGCACCCCTCCCAGATAAACACACTTATTGAGAAGGTATACAGCTTTGCTGACTGTTGATTTCGGTCACCGTTCTCATCTCCCACAATGCTTTGTGTCTGCTTACGTAGCAGGAAGGCAATGGTTAGAACTACTTGACCGGGCGAAAACAGTTAAAGTTTGTAATCCATATTAAAATTTTGTATGTATTGATTTATTTTACTTTACAATCAAAGCTCCTTTAAAAAAAAGTTTAAATGCTGGAGCTCAATACTTGACGTCATTGGTCGAAGCATTTGGCCAACAGGGTTAGCTGAAGGGACACAGAAATGATTTAAAGATGTTATGCTGATGAAGACAGACATCTAGTGGTCAACTGGAGCAACTACAAAAGTATGGAAAACTTTAAAATCCATGCTCTTATTTTGCAGATAGTTTCCTGTACTCCGTGCTTCGTTTCCTGTCACAAATAAAATCTGTCATGTACCCAGAATGCATTGCTTCAGTTTTCCAATAAACAGTTTTAAAATTACTTTATTGATTCTTCTTTAATGAAAAATATACAACAAACAAAAGAAAAAGACAAAGAAGCAGCCGAACTAGCAATCCTCAACAACTTTTTAATTTTTACACCAAGAACCAAAGTTCTGTTTCATGAAATCACATCCCCAGCAATCGGCCGTTGTAGGATTAAGTTGTAAAAGAGTTCATACACCACTAGTTGGCAGTGTTGTGCATATATTTTACATGAATTATTGCCAGCTAGTAAGTATCAAATTGAACTTGCGCTTTAAAATTAGCTTCCGCTGGTTTTCTATGACATAAGCACTTTTGAAGTTGCGGACCTAAATATTTTCATAAGCGCTTTAGAAATTGGGGAGCTAATTTTTGGATTAGCGCTGCCCACCTCTGCTAATGTGTTAACAGAAGCTAACATTTGTTAACAGCTGCTAATATCTGCTAATAGCTGCTAACATCTAGGCTGTGTGCGTACCTGCAGGAGATGATAAATGGAAATGTCAGAATATGAGCCGTTTCCACAGGACCCAGCAGGAAACAGGGCAGCTCTCAGTTTGGGATAAGGGGCCAGGGCCATCTTCAGAAGCTGGGGGTCCACTATTCTCCCCAGACTGCCTGACCTCTGACCCTGAGCTATCACCTGGAGAGAAAAATAAACTGAGGATGATTGGATCAGTTAAATCAGAGTTAAAAGAAAACACAATACCAGTTGATTCCGATTTATTTTCCATACAGCTCTTGCAGTAGGAACTTTGCACCTGTGTTTCTGTCCTGGTGCAGTTCGCCCATAAGGTATCTATGGTAAGGTATCAGAGGGAAACATGTCCTGGGACACAGCAGAGGACACCAAATAAAAGGAAAAAGTCAAACTGCAAGTTTCACAGGAAATCGTACGACAGATTTCTAAATATCAAAGAGCTGCTAAAGCTGCTGAGACGGTTTTTATCTAAGCTGGTTTAAACAACAGTCTCAGGAGATTTTTGAACAGTTTGAGGAAATGACTTCAGCTGTGTTTTCCACAGTGTTCCTCTCATCAGTTTAAGGAAGTTTTATGTTTTTGCTCTGATTACCATGTTCCTCGTCAGACTGTATGCAGCTGCTTTCAAACATGTTGTGGTGCTATATATTCTGCCTATTAATGTCATGATAACAGTACTTCAGCTGCCGATTAATCCTGGAGACCTGGAAGTGTTAGAAGATCATTCTTAAAAACCTTTGTGTTCATGATCCAACCATCAGAAAAGAAAAACTCTCTCTCTATGAGAGCTGATGCTTGGACCAAACTGGGTCATGATGCAACAGAACAATGTCCTAAACAAAGCACCTGATCTACAACAGAACAGGTCAAAAAGAAAAGAATCAAGGTGCTGCAATAGTCCAGTCAGAGTCCATTAGACCAGGGGTTCTTAACCTTTTTGACCTCGGGGCCCAATTTGTTGAACCTAAAGTGGCACGAGGCCCAGTCAGACATTACCAATGTACGGATCAAAATGATAATTACTCTAAATCTTGGTTCAATTTTTATTGCATTTCCATTATAACTAAATTAAATACACTTACAGTTTAAAAGTATGACTCCTGTCAAATAATCACAAGACGTTATTATGACAAACAATTTTTTATATTGTAACCTGCCCATAACAATTATTTGAACAAATACAACAGTCAGTCAACAGACCACTCAGGCTTATCAACACTAAAATATATATTTTTCAACATAAATGACAAAAATAGAAAATTCAATTAATAAAATTGTGGGCATAAGATAAATAAATTAAAAATGTTTAAATGTTTCAAAGACAAAAAAACTGTAAATATAAATTTGATAAAGTACAAATGAAAATATAGCCTTTTTAAATTTTTGCATGGTAGAACCAGAAGCTGCTGTTCATATTAGTGACAAACAATAACAGTAACAACAGCTTTTTGACAAGTTTAAATTTTCTTTAAATACATTAAAAATGTTTAAAAATAAACAAGAAAAAATAATTTGATAAAGTGCAAATTAAAATATAGCTGTATCTGCAACTGTATTTGATAATATTTTGAACTTTTAAAATAGTGCGTGATAGAAACAGAAACTGCTCTTCATATTAGTGACAAACTTTGGCCTTTTTTGATGAGTTACTTTAATTTTTGCTTCTATTTTTCATTTAAAATAAGTTTCCATTGTCGGCAGGTATCTAAGTTTCTTCTTCTACATATTAAAAAAGTTGTTAAACATCTGACTGGCACACTACCACTACTAGTGGTGAGGAAGTGTATTGCACCTTATTAAAAATCAATGGGGTCCCACGGCCCTCTACGGCCCAAAGTTAAAAACTGTTGCTCTTTTGAGGCCCTCAAGGTGGCGCTCGCGGCCCCACAGGTTAAGAATCTCTGCATTTGATAAGCCTTTGAGGGAAACTTGTCCCCAGCAGTCCAGGTAGGGGCAGGCGTACCTGATCCATTCCACCAGGAGCGAACATGATGGCAGCCAGCACCAGCAGACTGTGTCCCTCCAACAGCAGACTGCTCAAAGAGGCCTGGCTGCCGGGTAGCAGCACCTGAGCGCTGGTCAAACTGGCGTGGAACACCAGTTCAGGGTCTGAAACATGGACCAAAAACCAGAGAGTAAGGTTCAGAACACGTCTCATTCCAGGTCTGATCTAAGAACATTGATGTGTCCTGAGCCTCCATCTGAAAAACAATAAGCTGCCACACTCAGTATGTGTTGTGAAGGACTCTCAGCTACTACCACATCAAACTTTAGCTCAGTATGTGCAGCATTAACATGGTGTTAGCCAGTTTTGGATGAACTGATTATTTTCTGTGAGTTTCATTTAAATCAGGCTTCATGAAATATTTAGTTAACAGACAGTCTATCCACAGAACCAGAACACGGCTCGGCTTCATACCCGACAGGTCTCTGGTTATCTCCTGGACCTTCACCAGCATCTCAAACCACGGATGAGTCTTGAACAGGTTCTGATCCGTCAGGGGAGGACAGTTCCTGGGTGTGAGTCTGTGGGGAGCAGAGCCAGAACTCAGAAGGTCCAGTACCAGAACAGGTTAGAGAGAAAAAAATGTTGTATCAAAAACTATAGAGTGAACGCTGAGAGCTGAAGGACTTCACTGATTAAAGCTAAAAACAAAACGTAGAAATCTGAATCTGCTTCAGAGTTTATGAAGGATCCATCTCCTGATTGAGCTGAATGTTTAGACACATGAAGGCTAAAACAGTACAAAGAGTGCAGAGGTAAAAAATGTTAGTGTAAATGCTGAGTCAGCATTACCACAGGAAGTCCACAGGCACCTGTAATGCTGCAGGTAGACGTAGAGCAGGTACTGCAGGTTCCGCTCCAGGCAGAACATGATGACCATGCTGTGGAAGTCCAGGCCCTGAGAGGAGCGGTACTGAGGGAGAGGTGGGTCTGACGCCATCAGACCCCCGCCTTGAGCCAGTCTCCAGAACAGCTGCTCCAGGTCCGACATCTCGTCGGGGATGAACATCCCTCTCCTGGAGAGAAATTAGACTTTTATGTTTAGAAAAAAGTAACTCAACTGTTTTCATTTGAACCCGCTGTGTCTCCTAAACCAGAAGAAGTCAGACCAGCTCCTGTACCTGGCCAGCAGGTCCAGGATGTCCTCCCTCATCAGGGTGCTGCACAGCGTGTTGTCGTTAACCAGGTCTGGGGTGATCTCTGGCCAGCATGGGGAGCTGCTGGACCCCTGAGTCTGGATCCAGTCAACCACCCGCCGCTGGTCATGGAGGGCAGTCAAATACCCCCACAGCACTGGAGGGTCACAGCAGCTGAGCTCTGAGGAACACAAGGAAAAAATCCTTCTGAGGAGGGTTATGACTGGTTTCTAAAGTAAAACCTGCAGAAGCTTTGACTATAATCATGAAATATACAAATACTGTTACTGCACAACAGACATTCCACTATTGTTTTAGTTTTTGGGCTCTTGAACTCAACTTTAAGAACCACAGACAAGCCCAACAGGTATCAGTTTGGTTCTGATGCACTCCCTTACCTCTATGGTTCAGTCTGGATAAGAGCACAGCTGTCTGGCAGCTCTGGTCCCAGTTCCTCACCCAGTCCAGTCTGAGGTTCCTCCAGAGGTCTCCCATCTCCTCGGGCCTCCTCTGATCCAGCAGCTCCTTCAGAACCTTCTCACCTTCTCCCTTATGGTCCATGTGAGGAAACCTGGGAATGTTAGAACCCTGAAGGTCAGAACACGGAGAGCCTAACCATCTATACCATTTGTTTTCTTTACTGGCTTTTTCTTTTCCTCTCTGGGTCATGGGGAGCTGGTACCAGTGTCCAGCAGTCACTGTGTTAGATATGTGTGTGTGGGGGGGGGGTTCTTTACCTATGTGATAAAGTCCGAGGTGAGCAGCGTGCAGCTGGCAGCAACCCAAGCTTCTCCATCTCCCTGATGAACACAACGCTCTTCATCTCCTCCACAGATAAGGAGCTCTGATTGGACAGCTCTTCTACCTGAGCAGTTGAAAGTAAAAGTAAAGGCTGGTTCCAGATATGTTGGGTTGTATTTCCTGTGAAATGTCAGACTCACCAATAATTCCCTGAGGGTTGTATCATCAGTGTAGATACAGATGCTGTGGAGCTGCTTCTTCACACTCAGACCCTGCAAACAGTTTCAAACCTGATTTTAAAGCCAAAGACCTCAATCTGACCTGACATTATCATCCTGAGTGATCCTACACACTGCATATGAAGTCAGTGTACTCTGTAGTCAGATCACTCAGAGCTGGTCTGGACCAGTTTTATCCATGTTTTGTAGACTAATGCCCCACTGTAGAACCACTGACTGACCTGAACCCATACATGACTTTTAGAAACATTTTACAAACAGACAACATTTTTAATGACATTGAATCAGACCAAATATTTTTCTGTTTTAGGTCAGGAGCCTCAAAATATGATTATTTGTTAAATTCCCAAATAATGAGATTTTTTTCCCCTCACAATGGTGAATTTATATTGAACTCCTTATGATAAAACTGGTTTGTAAGCTGCCTGCACTGCAAAAACTGTCCATCTTACCAAGTTTTAAAACCTTATATCAGCCAAAAAGTCTTTTTGATCTTGTTTTGAGACTGATTTTCTAAACAAGAACTGATTGTGTAAGAATAATAATCTTGTTTTCAGAATGTGTAAGATTATTGTATTTGTCTTGTTAGTCTGAAAATTTGACTCAAATTAAGTCAAAATTTTCTGCCAATGGAGTAAGAAAATTTTACTTGGTAAGATTCTTGAAATAAGAAAAAATTGAGTCAAATCAAGTATTTCAAGAATCTTACCAAGTAAAATTTTCTTAATCCGTTGGCAGAATATTTTGACTTAATTTAAGTCAAATTTTCAGACTAACAAGACAAATAATCTTACACATTCTGAAAACAAGATTATTATTCTTACACAATCAGTTCTTGTTTAGTAAAGCAGTCTCAAAACAAGATCAAAAAGTTTTTTGGCTGGATATAAGATTTTAAAACTTGGTCAGGTGGACAGTTTTTGCAGTGTGGCTCACACATGCCTTTTCAGCTCCACCCAAAAGTTCTGTATGGGAAATCAAGGTTCAGCGATTAGCACTCCAAAACATTAACTTTATTGTCTTTAACCTGCCTGCTCCTAAAAATGACATTAGAGGTTTTTCTTTTTTAAACTGAGGACTCAGACCATTTTGTATTTTTTCGGGTTATATTAATCAGAGAAAAATCGTGAGAAATACTTTTTCATAGCCCTTTATACAAAAAACATATAGTTGTGTTTTTTATTTTTGGGATGTCTGATATGTGTCAAATCCCTCTGAGTGAAACAGGAAGTATTTTCTCACTGATGCAGGATCTTACCATGTTAATGAGAAGGGTCTTGGCAGTCTGCAGGTCTTTGTGCTGCAGGCAGGAGAAAACCTGACGCAGACCTTCCATCCTCAGAGCCGACAGGTGCTGCTCCGGCCGATCGGACCTCCGCAACACAGCCTGAGCTCTGGGGATCTGATTGGTCAGAATGGACTGACGGACCACTTCCTGCAAACCATAAATATATCTTAAAACACTTCAAAACTGAGGAAAAATTAGGTTAAATGTTTTTTTTTTTCAAAAAACATTTTAAATAATTGTTTCTGCCTAAATTAAAAAATTTGTGTCTGAAGTTGACCTCAGTGGAAAGTTGAAGCCATTCTTCTGACTCCACCTCCTCCTGAGGAAGAGGAGTAGCACTGCTACTGGCCCAGGGGAACCTCTTCATGTAGCTCCTCAACTCTGTGACGTACCGGTCCAACATGTCCACACAGCTCTGAACATCTGGCTGATCATCTACAAACACAACATCTTCAAATCTCTGAACACAAACACACACTGTACATCATTAACCATCATCATCTATCATCCATCAATCCATCATCCATCCATCAATCATCCATCATCCATCCATCCATCCATCCATCCATCCATCCATCCATCATCAATCCATCATCCATCCATCATTCCATCAATCCATCATCCATCCATCAATCATCTATCAATCCATCCATCATCCATCCATCATCCATCCATCCATCATCCATCCATCCATCCATCAGTCATCCATCCATCATCAATCATCCATCCATCCATCCATCAATCATCCATCCATCATCAATCATCCATCTTCCATCATTCATCCATCAATCCATCCAGCCATCATCCATCCATCATCATCATCCATCCATCCAATCATCCATCTTCCATCATTCATCAATCCATCCATCAGTCCATCAATCCATCATCCATCAATCAATCATCCATCATCTATCATCCATCAATCCATCATGCAATCTATCAATCCATCATCCATCAATCATCCATCCATCATCCATCATCCATCCATCCATCAGTCTATCAATCATCCATCCATCCATCATCCATCTATCCATCCATCCATCAGTCATCTATCCATCATCAATCATCCATCTTCCATCATTCATCCATCCATCCATCAATCCATCCATCCATCAATCCATCCATCCATCCATCCATCAATCCATCCATCCATCAATCCATCCATCCATCCATCCATCAATCCATCCATCCATCAATCCATCCATCCATCAATCATCCAACATCCATCTATCCATCATCCATCCAACATCCATCTATCAATCATTCATCATCCATCCATCCATCAGTCTATCAATCATCCATCCATTCATCATCCATCTATCCATCCATCCATCCGTCATCTATCCATCATCAATCATCCATCTTCCATCATTCATCCATCCATCCATCAATCCATCCATCCATCAATCCATCCATCCATCAACCATCCAACATCCATCTATCAATCATTCATCATCCATTCATCCATCAGTCCATTAATCCATCCGTCCATAAGAACTTAAAAGGTATGAATGAATCAAAATGTGTGTTCTCACACTGAGAGGAGCACAGAACAGATCTGATCTGTGTGTGGATGAAGCTCATGGTGATGTGCAGCAGCTGCTCTGAAAACTGTCGACTCTGAGCTTCACTGTTTGAGTCTCTGACCGCTGAACACAACAGGTCCAATGCAGGACACAGGTCCTTCACCCCTACACACAGAGAGAGACAGAGAGAGAGAGAGACAGAGAGACAGAGAGACAGAGACAGAGAGAGAGAGAGAGAGAGAGAGAGAGAGTTACAGTGAACATAACAGCAAAGACATGAGTTTCTGTCTCAAACTGGTTACATAGAGGGCAGTACCTAACTTTACTAAAGAGCCTTAGTTACGAGGGCCCTGAGTCGAGGAAAACCTGACAGAAAAACTGCTGCCAGGTATGACTGGAACCATAAATGTTGTGCCTTTAATACCAACACATTTAACCCAAACATGAAACCAGAATGTTCTGGTTCACTGTATCAAAGGATGACATGACATTCTACTCTCAGAACACAAAAAAATGTGTGTGTGTAGGTGAAAACGTGCTGAGACGTGAAGACGTACCATCTGTCAGGCTCAGTCTGGACTCTGAAGGCTGATCACCAACATTCAGGACATTTTCTTTACTCTTCAGATAAAAATCCACCGTGTCAAGCTGACGGTTCTTCAGTCCAGCCTAATAAAAAGCACATTTACAGCTGGGTGGTTGGAGTTCTTCCACAGTAAACACTTCTCCAATCCAGCAGCACTTTGTCTGGAAGTTCTGGAAACTGTTTAAGACAAACTCTAGAAATGTTGGCACTACTGCAGTGTGCAGGTGGTCCTACCTTTAAGGTGTGAAAGGGGATGGAGCAGCGCCCCCAGCTGTTCAGGTGACAAACAGCATCCACCGTTGCAGTGCTGCCAAACAGCATCAATCTGCTCAGCAGGTCCTGCTGGCTCACAGAGAACAGGACCTGGACCACACCGCCTTCTAGAGTCACACATCACATTTAAAATGTTGAGTCTGTCCTCTGAAAACTAATGAAAATAATTACTGTCTGAGCAACATCTTCACTAAAAACTTTGGTATTTCCTGTTCCTTCCTGTTAGCACAATATCCCATAAACAACTGGAGCGATTACATTTTAATGAAACTCTGAAAAAAAAACATTGGCTGCACATTTAGAACAAGCAATTTGAAGATGGCCACCACAGCTAAACAACCTTCAACACAATAAAGACGAAAAGTGTGTCAGATTTGTGGGATTAAATTTGTCGTGGTAGTATATGAGAATCATACCCAGCACATAATCCAAGCACCGACTCATCAAATAAAATATGTCTTTAAAACTTTACGTCAGCACGGTGTTTAAAGCTAAAACTCAGTGCTAATAGAAACCTGCAGCTCCCGGCTCTGAAGCGGTTTCGTGCTGAACTTACTCTTCAGCAGCAGTCGGTGCTGTCTCTCCCCACAGAACTGGACTGGAGCCGCCTCGCCCTCGGCCCGGTGGTAGCTCACGCTCCCAGACTCCAAATCCCACAAGGCCACTGTGGTCTGTCGGTTTCCAGGGGTGACAAAGGTCAGAAGGACCGAGAACTCTGAGACGCTGAGCAGTAATGCAGAGGACGGTTCGGGGACGGACAGGACGACGACTGCCCCTCCAGGAGGAGCTCTGCTGAGGACTGGGGACGGAACCAGCTGGGACTGAAGGTGGAGCAACGAGGAGGACCAGCACAGTTCTGCAGGCTGGGAGGAGGAGCAAGCTTCAGGCTGCACGGCTCTGTTGTACATGGAAGCCAGACGAGCTTCCCAAGAGCTGAAGAAACAAATGAAAACTGGTAAAACAAAAGAATTCTGAAGTCCAAAAGTCTTCATGACCATGAGGATCAGTTCTAACATCTGCAGCTTAATGCTGACTAACACAAACACTGATGCTCTGGAAGAGTCCTACAGGCTAGACTGCCAAAAGAGCCCAGGGACCTGAGATTTAGGGGTCCCCACAAAAGTATTATTGTGTTTCAAATGTGGTTCAAACCCATATCACTGAAAAGAGTTAAACTTTGTAAAAGACTGTGATGAAACCCAACTGCTTCATGGTTTCTGCTCAGATTAATCCAGAGTTTTAAATTAGATTTTAAGCCAGTACAGTACTATAGCTTCACTAAATGTGCATCTTACTTCTTTGTGGAAGACTGAAGCAGTGTTGATGCTTCATGGAAGTAATATTTTCATTTTCAGGAAAATACAGTTTCACAGCATCGGTTAGCAGGTTTGTCTCCTGGTCTGAGGCCTTTCATGGTGGATTCTCTTCCACTGTAACTTCCTGCTCTGATAGTCTGTTGAAAATCAGATTAATGTGTTGAGCAGGTTACCGGTCATCACTGAAGGGAGATCCAAGGGCAACTAGACTGCAGCTGGAGCTGGACACACTGTCTTGGTCCTGTGAATGCTTGGGTTGCAGAGGGGGGCAGGACTGTGGGATGGTACAGAGCAGGTGGTCCGGATACATCCTGTAAGACAAATCCCTTTGTGTTCAAGCAGAACTGAGAGCAGTTCTATTAATCTGGTTCATGTTCCTCAAGTCCAGTCAGCAGCAGGAACCTCACAACAGAACAGGAATCAAAGAAGCTGACTGCGTATCGCCCGCTACAGTATCAAGTCTCATCTGTTAGCACACAGTTACTATACAGTATGTGTAGGAATAACTCTCAGCTACTACCACACACCAACAGAGGTGGAGCTGTAAAATACTGTAAAGAGCAAAGAATAAACCAGAATCCATGCAGAGGGAACAGAGAAAAACAGAAACCTGATACCAGGACCAAGACTCTGTACCTGAAGTAGTGGTTCAGGTCTACAGCAACAGCCGTATGTGACTGTGTCACAGCTACAGCTGTACTCAGATCAGCTGACACCTGGACTCTGCAGAACGAAGAAGAGGTCACCTCTCCGTCTGCGAGGTCAGAGGTCAGGTAGGCAGGCAGGTTGATGGTGGCCAGCAGGACGCCGTCTGTCATGTTGTACACAGCTGGAGGAGGGGGTACAGGTTAAAGAAAGGGGCTTTCAGCAGTAAATGCACGGCTGCATCAAGAACAGCACTTACAACACAACTTAAAGGGATCCCCGATTAGTTGTAACATTAGACTTCATTTGATAAACACATACATTAACTGTAAAATAAAGAATGTAAAAATACTGTAGGCTGGTCAGTTTTTATAATTTTTAAACTAAAAGTTTCAAAATATATTACACAGACGGGGCCATTTTATTTACATGCAAAGCATTCTGGGTAAATGATAACATCAACTAGGTCATCGGTGCGAAGCTGCTAGTGAGCTATATCCACCCTGAAGGTTAATCTTGGACAATATCTGATGATCGACTCTTTTAAATGAAACCAGAGAGCGTTGACAGAGAGGAGAAGGTAGAAATGACTCAGCCTGTAACTGAAAATATGGATGGAGGACAACAGAGCTGCTTCATGGAAGAAGAACCTCAGCTTAGCCTGTTAGCTTTAGCGTTAGCCCTGATGCCATCACCATATATATGTATTAGCTTAGCGCTACACATTCTCCTCTCGTCACTGAGGTCCTCCATCCACATGACAGAGAGGGGAATGCAAAAATGACTCAGCTGCAACTGAAAATATGGATGGAGGACCTCAGTTTATCTTGTTTGTTGCGCTAGCGCCGAGCTAATACATATATGGCAATATAGCGTGGGCGCTAGGGTGGATATAGCTCGCTAGCAGCCTCACACCGATGACCTAGTTGATGTCATCATTTACCCAGAATGCTTTGCATGTAAATAAAATGGCTCTGTCCGTGTTAAAATATATTTTAAAAAAATTACAAAACTAAACAGACTACAGTATTTTTACTGTCTTTATTTTACAGTTAAAATTAATGTTTATCAATAAAGTTTAATGTTACAACTAATCGTGGATCCCTTTAAAGTTTTCACACAATAACTGGTGGAGGTTTTTTTTCTAATTCTGTCTGCCTGTCTTATAACAAGTGCTGGCAGAGGTGTGTGGTTATTTTGGTGATCTCTACACTTCTTCTACAGTTCTTTCATCAAACTGTAGACAGAGCTTCAGGCAGCAGCTGCCATTATATCCTACAACTAAACACCTGTACAGTTTCTATTTTCCAGTGACGTGTTCTTGAGAGCAGGATACATATGAGCCCCATGGAGCTGAGGATGAAGAGGGTTTCTGCACAGATACAATGGTGAACAGCTGGATCTCCGTTGGTCAGCTGGACTCTGCAGCACAGTAAGGTGTGGGTTTCCTCCTCCGCCTGCAGCCACTGCAGACGTAGCAGCCACTCACTGTTCACCAGCACGCAGCACTGACCGTCCACGAAACACAAAACCTGAACAGACTGCAGCTCGTCCACATCTGACAACAAAGAACCCATCAGTGAAACTGTGGTGCCGCAGGTAGATCATCAGATGTTTCGGAGCTACTCACTTTGGTTCTGCTCCTGGATAGTGTTCAGTACACAGACTGCTGGACACTCGCACTCACAGAGCAAAGAAACACTGGAGGAATGTTCTGCTTCCACTTCCAGCAGCTTCAGCTCACCCTGAGATCCAACAGCTAACAGACGAAAGCTGCTGACGCCTCGACTCTGGGCCGACACCTCCTCCCAGGAGAAGCTAGAAACAGAAAAAAACAAGTGCTATTATTCAGTGAAGGAGAATATGACTGACATGAGAAAACTTGTTTTATGATGTGTTTATGTTCTGTAACAGAAATGAGAGCTGAATACACTGACTGATGCACTTATGAAGGCAGCTAACGCTCCATCTCTAAACGTGTTTCTTTACTTGTACCTTACCATTAATGTGACACCAACTCAAGAATGCACTAATATAAGAGTGCACCAACTCAAGAGTGTGCTAACACAAGAGTACACTGACACAAGATCCACTCCAGTAGTGCATCTCAACATGATTCAAGATGGCCACCACAACCACCCAAGAAAGCTGTGTGTTTTGACTAGGACATTTCAAAGTTCACAGAAGAAGAAAAAAACCCTACTGAGAAGTCAACATTTCTACTTTTTGCATTAGCCACACCCACTCGAAATTCTGATCAATCACACAATAGTTGTCAGTCACCATGATGTAACAAACAAGCAGCAAGAATTTCCAAACAGCAGCAACTGAGAATCACCCCTAATACATTGTATTATAATACTGCATTATAACATAATATAACATATGACCCCCTATGTCTACGTCACATACTAATCAACATTGACTGCCACTTTGCATTCAAATTATAAGGTTTTAGTTCTAATCTTTGCTGAGGCAGGAGCGTGCACATGTGCAGATCACCACCAACATTTACAGCGGGTAAAATAAGTATTGAACACATCACCATTTTTCTCAGTAAATATATTACTAGAGGTGCTAATGACATGAAATTTTCAACAGATGTCGGTAACAACCCAAGTGATCCATACATACAAAGAAATCAAACCATAAATGTCCAGAAATGAAGTTATTTGTTATAATGTGGAATGGCACTAAGCCTTGTCTGACGAGGCTGTATAAAGTGCTGCCACACAGGATTTCTTCTTTCAGCCCTTTCTTTAAAAATAAATAAATCCATTACTTATTTTATCTAGTGCTAAATATCCATCCATCCATCCATC